TGAAGATGGGAAACACATCCAGACTTGCAAGATTCTCTTACTATGACCTTATTGGGAAGGATACATCACACTGGATTCCTACATGGCATTAGATCTATAGCCTGATCTGCTTTGAAGGGCACACGCACACACAGAATGAGAAGGCAGGGGCTCTTGATTACCATAGCTTGCTAGTTGTTGTCATTCAGTTATTGTTTGGCTTGTATGATTTTTAGATTTTGTTAGCTCCATAAATTAGTAAAACAATTATTGTTTACTGTCTGGAAGTTGAGTTATGGTAACTGGGCTTATTTTCTTGTTGGTTTGAAATGTTCCACTGCTTATCCAAGCAGCTTCTTCAGTCTGAAGCTTTTTCAGTCTGAGACCAAGTGGCTTAGGGGAAACTGAGTAGACAGAGAGTCCTTGGAATGTGCCAACTCTCTTAGCAGTGACTTATTTAATTGTCCTGATGTGGTAGAATATAGTCCAGAGTCACAAGAAGGAGACTGTAGGAGAAGAGTAGGTAGAGCTGGAAGATGGAATTAAGTGCATCATCAGTTTAGAGTTCTTGCATTGCCACAAGAGACCCAAACCCTCCTGAATGCCATTGGCCCTTATCTGGCAGCAATTTAGTTGTCCAGATTTTTGTGAATAGGCTTGAATAAATCTTCTAGGCTACAACCTTATGAATGATCCTAATTCTTTGTGCCTGACAGAAGGGCTCCTTCCCAGGGAGCAAAGCGATAAAGAAGTTTGGAAACGTTGANGCTCTTGCTTAGCAACCAAAATGTTGGCTCAGAAACTCTGGCATTTGAAGCACACAGGTCTTACAGTTGTCAAGTTACAAGACCCTTGCACTCCTAACCCTTTAGAAAAAAAAAACCCTAGGGGTGTTCAAACTTGATAGCTTTAAGACTTGTGGACTTCAACTCCCAGAATTCCTCCTCTCGCTCTTTATCTTGATGATGTATGGATGAGCAGGGGGAGAGAGCTGGAACCAGTTCTAAACAGCACTGTAGATTTGTGGAACCTCTTATATAGAAGAGGTTAGAACTGGCAGGAACCCACCCCTGAAACATACCCACATGCACTCATAATATAGACAGGGTTTGCTCTCTCTCTCTCTCTCTCTCTCTCTCTCACACACACACACACACACAAACACACACACACACACACACACACACTCATAATATAGACAGGGTTTGCTCTCTCTCTCTCTCTCTCTCACACACACACACACACACAAACACACACACACACAAACACACACACATGCACTCATAAGAAATATAGGGTTTGATCGCTATCTTACTATATCTCTCATTATCTCTCTAATTCTATCTATCTATCTACAGTATCTTTCCCTCTCTCTCATTTCCCTCTCTCTCGCTTTCTCACATATCAACACACACACACACACGCATACACAATAGGCAGGGTTTGATTTCTGTGTTTTACGGTAGACAAATTTTCTACATAAATATAATTTCTTTTGTGCCTGCAAGGAGCAGGTTATCTGGTTGTATCGAGTTTGTCAATCTTCTGCTGATATTAAATGTGCAGCGAGAGAGATTTATTTCTCAGCCTGCAAGTTCTGATAGTGTGCTAACAATTGTTCCAGAAAGGAGATGGCATTTTAGATTGCCTATTTCTTTGCTTTACTGTAATGAACTTTGTTTTAATTTGTTGCATCCATATACTTCAGCACTGTAGGTTTTATTGCAGCTTTATTTATGACTGAATGTAAAACAATAATAAAAATAATATCATTGATGACAATGTGACTTTTTAATAGAAAGTTTGGAGTGTGAAACTCATCCATAATGTAATGTCTTTAAGAAAAAGCATAATCCAAATGAGCAGAGATAGCACTACACAAGGTACTGCTTACCCAATGTTTGCCAAAGGAAGTGGTTCTTTATATAACTGGGAATAATATTCCGGCAATGTGTTAAATTCATCATATGAAAAATCTCTATGTGTTGAAAATGCCAAAGTGCTTCTGGATACAGCCAAAGAAAATTAGAGCAGGTCAGACTACAGCTCATTTTGGATATTTTCCTGATTCAAGGCAAATTTGAATCAAGTATGCTTCAAAAATATTGGAAATCAATTGGAGATCACTTCCTCCAACTGTTAATTTGATATTTGAAATTCCGTATCTTTATAAAAATGCAGAAAATCCTGCAGATTTCATTCAGTTTTGAAAAACAAGGAAGGAAGGAAAGAAAGAAAATGAGAGAGAGAGAGAGAGAGAGGGGAAGGAAGGAAGGTGGC